CGGAACGCTGCAAAGTTGCAACGCTTTGACGTTTCGCTCAGAGATTAAATTTATACAAGTCTAATTAATATTTCTAATTTTTTCCAAGTCATTATATCTCTTCCAACTTCGAAGAAAATAAATATGAATATATATATGTAATTAACTCATGAACGATCAAAAATGAATAAGTAAAGATTTTACGTGAAAATTACAAAAAATACAAGAAATTATTATCTAAGAAAAATCAACCCTTTTATTAATATATTGTTATTTCGATGATAAGAGTAATATGAAAATCATATGCCTTCTTACAAAATTGGATCATCGTTTAGAAGAAGATCGTAAATAAGACGTTAAACGGAATAAAATTCTTCATGGTTTCCTCGCGTTGATTTCTGGTGCCTCCTTCACAATTTTTCTGAATCCGTCAGCGAGGCGGAATAAGAGCAGTCGACGCATGCTCATCGGCCTGTTATAATTTCGGTTCTATTAGCCGCGCGCGACGGGGCCCTAAGCTCCGAAGGGATTTTCGGAGATCGTAAAGTTAAGCACGGACCCCACAGAGGTATCCCGTACGTGTATACGCGTTTGTATGCGTATACGCAGCATACACGCCGGTGCGTGGCATGGTGGAACGGGGGCGAGAGTGGGCCCCCGTTGAAGAGGGTCCGCGGAGAGAGAACGAGGGAAAAAGAAAGAGAGTATACTGTCAAGTAGCATCTTGACACGGGGCTCACAATGGCTACTTGTTAGCGCGCTGCGCCAACAGCGAGGGGAAAACGAGCCTCAGACACTTGCCTTTTTCACATCGCGCTCTCTTGCCCGCGTACGATTCTCGTTACGATTGCGCCGATCACGAAAACATAATCTCGGAAAATATTTTTACTCAATATCGTTATGTTATATCGCGACTATTATTGCAATTCTTCGTTAGGAATTCAAAGTGTATTTTCGTGAAATTTGCATCTCCTCGATGTGGAAAAATTTATCTCCATTTATTTGTTGCAATGTTACTGACAAAACTTTCACTACTGTCGTATGTTTATAACGCGAAAAAATAAATGCGGCAAATATAAATTTTCAAATCGCAGATTTTATTATTTCATCAATTATTAAAGTATGATTTAATAGACGTAGGGTGTATGTTTTAAATGTGCGTGTGAATGTTTAATATATAAATCTGATTATGGACTTGGATGAAGACGAAAACTTTAATATGGATTTAGAGATGAACAAGAACAAAAATTTTAATGTGAATATAAAAATAATAGACTTAAATATCTATAAAAAACACTTGGATTAATGTAACTTGAATTTGGGAGGAAACGTAGATACATGGATGTAAATGTGATAAATGCAGACTTGTGGATAAATCCGAAAATATTAACTTGAGTTAAACATTCAAATTTTAAGGTACATGTGATATTCGATTTCGAAACAGATTACACATTTACTCACAAAGATATCGAGAGTTATATCTAGACTTTGTTAATTAGTACCTGTTGTCTTGCCATTAGTTTTATTATTTTGTAGATTAAATGTCATCGCGACACGTGATATACTTACCCCTTTTAGAACTCAGCAGCATCTAATTTGCGAGCAAAAGATACAGGATATTGTAAGAGGATGTGTGTGCGTGATAAACGCAGATAACATTTGCATCTGTTATTACTTTAAATAACATCAACTTTACTCGATTACAGTTCGATCGTACATCGTGATCTCTTAACTTAAATCTACTTACGCATCATCTCATCTCCCTTTCCATCTTCTCTCGCGTTTACGTACACATACGCACACTTACACATACTGCTCGCTGATGCACGCACACATACACACACACACACACATACACAACACGCTCATGGATAACGACGTTCATATTCATTCTCGGCAATTCGTCTTAGTTAGTTGTGCAACGTTAGGTTTGTCCGCTAAAATACACGAATGAAAACTGGAGAGGACCAAGATGGATGATAATGATCATTAATAATCGTCCTTGCGTCGCGCGCGCGATTCTCGTCTCGTTCATTACATTCGCTCCTTCAACGCTCTTCCGCTTATATGCGCGAGTTACGTGCGAGTGCGTAATTTGTGCAAGAGTCTCATCATTACGATTAACATCCTATTAGTAAAAATTAATTCTTTAACTTTGGTCGAATCGCAGCGTTCGTTTCGTAGAAAATTTCTCAAGTAACTTTCGATCATTACTGCTTTGCCAGCCTAAAAAGTATACCTCGAAAGTAACGACAAAATACGTGAAATGGAAGAAAAGCAACTTCCGGAAGAAAAAAAAAAGAAAAAAAATTGAGAAAGAGTTAGTGTATCTATTCATTTGTGCACCAACTTGTGTATACTTTTGTGGATACTCTTGAATAATTCTTTAAATGAGAAAACAAAATAATAATCGTTCCAGTAATAATTTGCCCAGCGTCCATTAGCCAAAAAGCACACACACATTAAAACAGTTTATAATTTTATCAATAATTTGTCCGTTTAAGAGAGCATAATTGGCTTACTGTATAAGACACTAACGTAAAGCTTGATTAAAACTATCGTGTTTTTACGAACGCGAAACTGCAAAAGAGCGATGGCTTGTTGCATGCTTTCGATTGATCCTTACATCTAATGTATGTCTTTGATAAAACGTACGATCTAGCGAGATTGACTTTAACTTTGAGCTTTTACAGACTGTTCAACACAAATCATTTTAAAGAAGAATAAAAAAAGACATCTTTCTATTTCAGATACTTGGAATTAAAAAAAAAAATTATTTCCCCCCGAATACACGAAGTTATTTAATTGCGTCGTGAATTCTGTCAAATAGCGGAAGCATCCTTAGAATTATTGTTACGTGTGTTTTTTTTTATCTCTCTTCACTCAGACACATTCTATACTAATCGATTCGTTTTACGAGTCGTTAATATTCTCTCTATTGTAACGCGTAATGTGGCACTTTCGAATTGTCGAATAAATATTATTAACGTAGTTTTGTGGGTGCGTGATTATTTTTGTAAAAATGAAAAACACGCAGACCGCGATGAATGTGAAAGGTGCAAAATGAAAATAATGACGGTAGGTATTGTGTGCCATAAGATCGAAGATATTATTATTTTTCACCCTACGTCTATCTCTTTCCTTTCACCTCCATTCTATCCCCTACCCTGTTTCGTCCCGAGGACTCTCTCGTAAGGGAAATCCTTTCTCTCCTCGACATCCTAGATAAGAATCTACAAGGCAATGTCGCAGCTAACGGAATACTCAGGACACCAGACACGCGAGATACTTTACGAATAAAAAGTCGACATTTTCGAGATGAATCAAAACGCTTCTATTCTAACAGCACTTTATACAAGTTTCAGTAATTTCTCTACATTATTTTCTACTCAATAGAAATTATTTAAACGTAATACGTAATTTCTACGTAATACAAATGATTATGAACAAAAATATTAGGCCTATTTTAATAAAAATTAATCATCAAAAAATAAAAATCGCATCGTTAAAAAAAATAATCACGATGCTTGGGAATAAAAAAAACATTTTTATGAGCAAGAAAACAATTTAATATACTTTTCGTCTGAATAACAAATTAACGATTCATCTCAATATCTCGATTTTTCTCTGTCATACGCTCGCATACCTTTCTCCGTCCTCTTCCCTCTTACATTCTTTTCTTTTCGCGCAACATATACATTCTCCCTCTCTCTCTCATTGTCTTTAGATATATTTATGTACAGACTGCGAACTGTGAATAAATGATAACTTACGCGCTCTATCTTATATGATGCGACGAGCATTCACTGTCTACTGGGAGTACCCTAAAGTTTCATCTTCATCCCTAATTGCTGTTATTCAATTTAAACATTATACGCGATATCACATTTTTTATCAATAATAATTACTCTTGATATAATATATATTTTGGTGATAATGAGATTTTTTAAATAATAACCATACTTTCTCATTTTCCGCACAAACCACGCAATCTATGGAATGTGAGCTGCAGAAATAATAAGACATCTTGCAATTTGAAATATTTTATCTCTTGTCCATGTCCCGTTGTTCGTTTCAAGAAATTTTCTGTATCTTTTTGCCAAGAAAGTTATTGAATCAGAATTCTTCAAATTGTCGAACATGAGAATTATGGATTAACTTTAATGGCTAAAATATCTAAATCTAAAATTTCGTAATTGTTTAATCACGAAATCCAATCAACATTCGGTAACACCCGGTAGGCAGCGAACAAGGACGAGATTAACTTAATAATAAGTCGAATGCGTGTGTATTATACATATATACATACAGGACAAACACAAAAGCGTACGGTGTAAGAGGAGCGTAGTTGATTACGGCTAATTAATTAGTAGGCGAGTCAAATCTATGAATTAAGGGAGGCGGGGGAGGAGATGGTAGGGATGGAAATGAATTGTATTCGCTTGTATTCTGCGTATGTTAAAAAAAAAAAGAAAAAAAAAAATAAACATCTTTGTGCAATCTTTTATTCCGCTCGGGCAGAAAAACAGAAAAGTACGGCGCCAAGTATATGAAACAGAGAAACTAGACGCAGGATTTTTCGCCCCGTTGTTTACTTATGGAAATAGCGGTAAACACAAGCCGGTCTAGCCGGCTTGCCACGAGAGTTTACGAACTGGGAAAGTAAAATGCTAATATGTCTTTTGCTATATTTCGTTCGGAAACGTCATCGTCGCCTCGGTATCCTTTGATACCGATTCTCACGGATATTGTTAGAATAAGAGATCTGTTCATAGAAAATGAAATGTTTTATATATAGATAAAAAACTGTTTTTTTGTTGTTGAAAAAAAACGAATAATTTTGATCAAACAAGTCTCTCTTTTCCTTCTTCAAATCTTGATCATTTCATTAAAACACAATATACTAATTCATATTAAAAGTTGTGCATTTAATTTAGTTAAATAACTTTATAATACATATTATAAAGTTATTTAAATATATAACTAGTATATTAAAAAAAAAAAGTTGCTTTCTTAAATATACGTATAATTAATTATACGTATTTACGTTTATTTTTTTATGTGTATAAAAAAAGATAATTTATTTACGCAATTAAAAAATTTTTCTGAACGCCGAGGCAGACGCGACGGTTTAACAGACAGTTATTTTTAACGCTCTTCATACGCTTCAAAATACCCACCGAGAAAAGCTCACGGAGAACGAAACGATATATCCGTAGAGAACTCTCCTTCCTATTTATCTGAACATTACTGGGTCGCCAAGAAATTATTATCGCGATAAAAAAGATATTTTTGACTTAAAGCTCTTTAAATAAATTCATTATTTAATAATTGCATTAAAAAACAATGAATTTGAGATCGCTCACTGGGTTGTATTTAATAATGACTTTTCTTAACATTTTTTAATAATTTCGTATCCTTTTGTAATACGCTAAATTCAAATTTCAATATCAGGATAATATTTTTTATCTTTCTTTGGTGATAATAATTTATTGACGATCCAAATAATATCACAGCAAACCATTCAAGAGTACCTTGATCGACCGGAAGTCTTGCGCCTCACCGATGTGCATTAAGTCTTCTCCTGGCTCCTTTTGCTTTGGGTGCTTGGGGCCCAAGGTCACAAGGAATGGTATTCGCCCAACACGAGGCCGCTATGGTAACTCGCGTGCGACGTCGACATCCCCATGGAACTCATGCCCTGATAAGCGCCCATGCCCATGCCGTTCATCGACATGGTGTTCATGGTGTTGACACCCTGCATGGTATTGGACAGCATCGTCGAAGGACCCATCGGGCTCAACCCGCCCATGGAAGGCGCGATCGCGCCCATCTGCATCGACGTTGCCGTATGCGGCAAGGACTTTTGCAAATCCGCGGAGGTCGGCGTGCCGATTAAATAGTCCTATCGGAGAAAAAAAAAGGATTTCTTCATATTTGTTTCATTCGTTTCCATGAGAGGATAATCGTGAGATGTGGGACACGTGTATTTATATATGTATTCAAATTCTTAAAAATTCTTGAGAAGAATCTAAAGATCCTTATATTTGTAAATTCTTGAATATTGAGTATATTTTTTAAAATTTCATATCTCTGAATATTTAATTTTCTTTATAAAACAATATTTTTGTTTCCTATAAGACGAACCCCATAACGTTTCTTTTTTTTAAGAACACGCGCGCGGAAAAACATGCGAGAGATCTTTGTTATAACGAACATAAATTGAAACAAACATGAAAAAATTGTTTTACCTGCGGGCTGTAGTACTGCATGTAATCCAACTGGCTCTTCTGTTGAGCGCAACTGGGCGGTGGTGGTGGCAAAGTAGCGGTGGGATGAACGAGACCGTGGGCACCGTGGGTGCCGACTTGGAGATGATGCTGCAATTGATGATGGAGGTTCCTCTTGTCATCGCCGCTCTCGCTGCTCGTGTCGTGGTGCTGCATGTGCGGGTGGCTCAAGGACGTGCCGTGACTCTGGTGATACGAATGCGGGCTGGAGACCGTGACCGGAGGCGGAAGCTGGTACATGCCGGAGGTTTGCTGGTGGTCCACCATCTGCTGCTGCTGCTGCTGCTGCTGCTGTTGCTGCTGAACAGCGCAAGAGGATGGCTGTTGCTGCGGCTGCTGCCCGGATTGTCGCTTCGTCTCGTCACCGCTTTCGCTGCTGGAGTCTCCTAAACCCCCGCCGTGAGTCTTGTCCTCCCTCTGTCCACTGAAACAGCAAAGCGGCGTTTGCTTTTTTAAAAAAAGACAGCTAATCTTTCTTTCTCTTTTCTTTTAGAAGATTTATATTTAAATGGAAACGCGTTGTGCGAAGCAAGTTGTGGACAAAGAGCTCCGATTGGACACAAGCCGGTTTAAACAAATTTTTATGTTAATTATATCATTATCATACATCGCGTTTAAGTTGTTATGCTAATTACACCCTATTATATTTCGACGTTATCAAATAAATAATCTTTAGCGGTCATTTCATATATTTATCTCCTCTCTTTTATTCACGCTCTCGCTTATGTTTGGAAAATTATTACCCTTTCATTGTAAAAGAATTAAAATATTATTAGTTTAAATCTTCTAATTATTTCAAGCGGAATTTTGTTCTCATCGAAAATATATCTGTCGAGCGAAGTCAACACAAATATTAATATACGTTCGTCATCGATCGGTCCTTATTAGCCACACATTCTCCATAATTTCATTATGAAGACATCCCAGGGGCTCGATTTAATTGCGTTTGCGAGCGTCGCGTTAAAACGCCGCCTCGCGATAATCCGGCGACGTCGATCGACTGGGGAATCGAAATAATATCGCCTAAGATAACACCAGTACAGGCGCGTAAAGTACCGAGAAAAGGGTATATCCAGTCTCCCTCGTACTTGTGAATTAAGGGCAGACACCGAGTGCGGGGAGGAAGAGTAGGGTTTTAAAGAGGCGCGCAACGGAAAGGAAAAGACGGAAGAAAAAAAAAGGAGAGGGAAAAGAGAGAGAGAGACGCTCTTGGCGTCTCGTAAACTCAATTTAGCAAGCTGGACCTCCTCGAAGCACGTGGGGACCCACGGGTCCGGCCGAGCTTCCCCCTTCGTTTACCTCTCTTTCTACCTTTTCCTCTCTCCCCCTCTTTGTCTATCTCCTCCAGGTATCCAGCAATCGTTAAGCGCTTGTTTTACAAGTCGTTTAGACGCGAGACCGGTGATATCGCACCGTTCGAGCCAAGTGCTGCGACACTTGTCTCTACGGGGTGTTTTCGAGAACCGGTCCTCGAGTACGAGAGAGGAACTACCGCCGCAGTGATAAGAGAACACGGAAGAGACATCTCTCAACATTGTAGAGCAAAATTATATCATTACAAAAACTTTCCGGATTATTTTATACTTAATTAAAATTGAGAGATAAAATAATCTTATTTAGATTCAGATGTTGACATTTAAATATAAACACGTGTATATAATTTTAAATATATTATACACTTCAATTTTTTAGATATTACAAAACTTTATTAATATACAAAAGTAAGGATTTAAGTCAACATATTTGCACGTTTGAAATGCTTCGATAAATTCAAATGTTGGATACAAAAAATATTATTATTAATATCTTTATTAATAATTATTATTATTAATATCTTTATCAATAATCTTTAAATATTAAGATCTTGATGAATGAGAGAATATAATTGATATTAATGTAAAATTTATATTTTTATACGCAAACTACACTGAAAATTACACTCATCGAAATTTTCATATAAAGATACAAGACCTTAATTAATAGAATTCTGATTTTTACAATATTGTCATAGGTGTATAAGAAAAAGATATATTCTCTGTGCACACCGAGGCGACGTTTAGAAGTGCGTTTATCGCGTTGATCTTTTTCTTACCACCCGTTACGAGATGCTATCTATATGATCGTAATTATGTACTGGTTTCCAATTCCTGCACGCGAGAGATAAAATGTCTAATTAGTCGAGACGTCGCCTTTTGTATTCTAGCATTAAGATGAGATTCCCCAGACACTCCGAAACGATACAGGACCGAGTCTATCGCATTGATCTTTTTTTGTACCACCCGTTACATGATGGAACCTATAACCGGATGGAAGTGTCCCCAGGTATGCCTTATCTGTCCGTGGATCGCGCAGTAAATTTATCCGCGTTGCCACGAAAAAGAACGGAATCTTTCGGGGTTATTATTATTTTCATTAGAATTTGTGACTCATCGCGTGCAAAAGGCATTTATTTTCAAGCCGTGACACCTACTCCACGTCTCCGGATCGACTCTCTTCTTTCTCTCTGCTCTTTTTCTTCTCTTCGGCGCGATGTAGGATCGAAAGGTTGCGGGCCTTTTAAATGTTGGAAGCTTCGACTTGATACGACTCCGAAGGAAATAATTAATAATTATATTCTTGCAATTTATCATATTTAAATAAATTCTTGCGAGTCTCTTCAATCGCCTCGTATCAGTTATTTTCTTCAAATTCTTTACATAACGATAAACATCGATTTTAAATAATTTAAATTTAATCAAGCATCTCATTATAAAAAATAATCGATCGCGCGAAATGCACAAAGTATCATAAAGAATCAGCGTTAATCAATTTCAATGATCCTTAATTGAAAACGTTGCAAGCTACATTTTAATGGGATACTCCTTTTAATTAAATCCAATTAATGGAAATAAATTTTATCATGAAAACATTTACATTAAAATTAGTTAAATAAAGTAAGAGATATTTTATGTGTTTAATGAGCGTATATTATATAATATTGCGTTATTATACAAAAGTAATAAATTTTTCATTTTAGACATTCCGTTTATGTTTCTGTCGCGCGCGCGACTACGTCGAGATCAGTGTCAAGGATTATAAAAAATGCCAGGAATGCGACGAGATTTTATCTGCGGACGGTTCTACGTGAGTTGCCGTTGTCTCACGAAAAATGAACGAATCGATCTTGGCGACCGCCGCGGAATTTCGAAGTAAATACTTATTTACAAACCGGCCGATTAAACCATAGCCGCGCCTTCGCCGATCATTATCTTCTTCTTCGTCAAATCTGAGATCAACGACTCTGGTTATTAAGTCATTGAAGAAAGTAAATCATCGCATGTGTAAATTCTTTTCGGCAAATTTAGATTATTCATATAAAATAATATTAATTACTCTTTCATTAATTATTTTGTTTATTAATTTTATTAATTTATTAACTGTTTCAATTATTTATTTTATATTTGATATAATATTATTATATATTTCAATATCTCAGTCGTATGAGTTGAACATACCTGATATAATTTAATTTATTCCACATATTAATCGATAAACAGATTTAATCTATCTAATCAGATTACATATAAAATCCGTAAATACATATTTTTTGTCTCGCATTTCCTTTTAACTTTGATAAAATTGTCTTAGAAATTTGCATTATGCAAACTTTAGGAACGAGCGAAATTACATCGCATACTGTACGAGCGATCTTATAGAAGCTGTCTTTAATTGAGTAGCGCAAATCACGTATAAATAACTAAGGAAACACGACGCCACAGCCGCTCATTCATGACGATCGATTTCGGGGTGAGAAAAGGGCCATGTCTACGTGTAGTATTACTTATGCGTATATATATAGGCCGTCACAAATTAGCATAATTTCTAATTTAATTTCTCGATAAATTCCCGATCGCACGCTCGCCTCGAAATGAGATGCTATCGCGGCATCGCTAATTCGCGTGTCTAAGTTTATATCGCTTGGGACCGGTATACGAGACCCGATAGCATCTTCCCCCTCCTCTCGTCTTCTCTCTTTCTATGCCATGGTTTCCTCATAAAATCGGATTATATCGGCTCTGTCGCCCCTGTGTTGTCGCACACTTTATTCTAGTCTACGTGCGATATTCTCTCCCGTAGAAACGAGTTTGGGTCAGAGTGCGATTGCCGAGTCATAACGAGCCCTTTCTCTTTCTCTCCGTTTATTTCTCACTCTTTTTATTTTCCCGTGTCATTAATAGTATCCAAATAAATAGGGATTTAATTTAATTTGAATTCTTTGAGAGTCGAATGTGATATATCGAGAAACTTGCAACGTACGTGAGAAAAATTTTACTGGACCAGCAACCTCTATAAATCTACAAGTCAGTTTAAATTAGCGTGTTTCTTCTATGAAATTTCCAAATTTATTTTTCGCATTCCAAATATCCCACGCAACCGTCGCGTTTCGCTCTCGAAGAGACCGGCAGTTTTGCCTCCGGGATTACTTAACTCGCTGAGGAAGGCAGAAAGGCAAACTCCGGGGCCCGTGGAGAGCAAATTGAAGATCGGCCGACTCGTTTGTCGGCCTCGGAATCTCGAGGAAAGAAACGGCGGATTTTCCTGTGGAAACTCCGGGGGCTGAAGGATCCCGCGTCCACTCCTCTCGGCAGGTGAGCGCGCCGAGGAAGTTACTGGCAGCTGATTCCATAAGCAGATAGGGAAGGAGAGTTTCCCGGGCCTAAAATAATGGGAGGCAGCGTACCGTGTACACACCGTACGAGCCTCTGTTTGTAAACTATGGCTCTCGCCTTCTCTTCTACCTGCAGACTCTCGAATCTGTCCGGGTGAATTTCTCGCGCGGACACGGGATCATCTGCACGAAATTCACTAGCGCAAAAAAATCGGTCAGGGATTATAAATGATGCAATTTCGACAGGTTCGATTTCCGGTAACGGAAATGATAAGTATCTCAAACTATAATCGAAAGGTCGACGATATTTCTATTACGATGTGTAAATACAAAATCAATTTCTCCTAAATAAAAAGTGGCATATTCACCAGAAAATGATAATCATTAAGATTAATAATAATAGTAATTAAAATTATATTTTATTGTTTTAAAGTATTTAGAATTATTATGTCGATAATAAAATTCAATTTTTTTTCATCGGTAGATTATTATGTGAAAGATTTACAAAGTTTGTTTAGTTTATAGCTTTTAATTGATCATCATCTAACAAAATGCTTGTTTGCGAAGAGCAAAGATTCTTGTATGAAAAGGATACAAATTAAATAAAAAAGAATTACGATTCATTAGTGCATGTCAACAATTATTTCGATAAATGACGCATATCATAGTATTTTAATTATCGTGATTTGATTTGATTTAACGTGATGCATCGTAAAGAATATGCCAAAAAATTTGCGTTCTCGTGCCAAATGTATGAATTTAAAGTCCGCCTAAAT